CGCACTCTCACACACACACACACACACACACAGTCTCTCACACACACACACACTGAAATCCTATCGTGGTAATGTGGGGGTGCTAGAATGTCGTAGGAAAACAACTCACGGAAGCTTTTGATCGTCCCCATGGCGCAAATTGGCGCGCCCATAGCGAGCAAAGCGGGCAGCATGCATCTCCCTCGCATACGCGCTATTGGGCGCTATTGGTCGCTATCGGACGCTATCTGAGCGCTGCTCGGTGCTACTCGGCGCTACTGAGCGCCATTGCGCACTTTTGGGTGCTGCAGTTACGCCGAGATACAGTTCAAACGAGACGAACGGATGCTTCTGTGCCTTGCTATCCAGACTTCGGACCCAAATCCTGGGCGCCGTGCCACCGCGACAGCTGCCGCAGCGCGCCCCGCAGCCCGGCCGAGTCGCCGGCGCCCCGGCGCGGCAGCAGCACCGGAACGGCCACGGAGGCGGCGGCCAGCGCGAGCAGCGCGGGGCGGTGCCGCAGGGGGTCCGCGGGTGTCGGGTGCTGCCAGGGGCGGCCCCAGACCCCCAGCGTGTTGCACAAGTCAAGACGTTCTTGGGGGCCTCTTGGACGGTCTTGGAGCACCGTTCTCTGCACCTCGCTACCTGCTGTCTCGGCAGCGTCTCGGGCCCCACCCTCCTCTCCCTACTCTGCCGAGGCTAGCCGGCGGTGACCTCGTCCCCACGGACGAGGAGGCGGTCTCCTCCGCCCTCCGCCTCTTGAGCGGCGTCGCTCGGCCCGCGCGCGCCCGGGATTCTTTTGTTGACGATTCTCGACCTCTTGGCTCACCCCTGGTCCCCAGGACCGTGCGGGATGGAAAGTCGGCCCTGGGGAGCCCTTTTGGAGAGTTCCACGTGGCCTTCAGAGCGCCCCCCCCAACGAGGCCCACGGGCGACCCAGCGGGCTCAAGAGTGGCCCTAGCCCAATCGGGAGCGGCCAAGAGGGGGGTGTCCAAGAGGGGGGGGTGCAAATCATGACCGGCGTCATGTGCGCGGCCCAGCGGGGGGGCCAGGGACGTAATGAAACAAGAAGAGGCGCCATGAAATCTGGGGAAATATCATGGCCCACGCCATGATATCCACCCCCCCTAGTCATCACCCCGCTCTCTTCCGCCCCCGACCCAATCCGGACACAGGCAGACTTGGCCCCAACGATGGTCGAATGCACGGGGATTGTCAGCGCTTCCGTGGGCGACCGAGCGCGCTCCGGAACAGCCCTGGCCCAGTCTGGACAACCGGCGGCCCTGGCCCCAACCCCAACGAGAGACAAAGATGAGGGGTTCGGCTGCGTTTTGGAGTCTTTTTGGGCCTCCAGGGGCGACAGCGAAGCCGCGACCGGATCCGCCTCGAACGGATCCTCAGAACGCAACCCAAGACAGGTCCTGACATGTGGCGGCTCGAAAGAATCTAGGCGACCCATAGTTATTCATGTGGAGGTTTTGGACGCAGACCTCAGGCCACGGGGCAACAAAAACAATGAAAAGCTCGTCCCTGGAAGGGGTCGGGAAATGCAGGGGGCATGCCTCGACTGGCCCAAGGGTGGCCCATGGGCTGGACTGGCCCAGCAATCCAGGCTCCTCGGCCGCCGCAGTCCATGGATGCAGGGCTGCTCTTCCTGGATGTCCCGCGCGAGCGTATTCGCAGGATCGCGTGCGCCTGGGATATCACGCATCAGTGCCCAGACCGCGAGGGCATGGACGTGGATACGATCGTCGCGCGGCCTCCACGGCACCCTTCAACTGGCGCTTCAGAGTGGCGCGAGCAGTTGGCCGACCAGCCATAACTGGGGGAGCTGTGGTCCTTACCCCCCTGGGGGAACCCATCGCATCGACGATCTCTCGAGAGGGGTATCGAAATCGATGGGTCCCCCAGGGGGGTAAGGACCAGAGCTCCCCCAGTTGTGGCTGGCCTGATGTGGGCAGCTTGGGCCAGGATCACCCGTGGCAGCCTCCGAGCAGGTTGGGCGCCGGACTCGGAGAGGGTCCACACCACGCACAGCACCGGGGAGGCCACGCCCATGATGCCTTCGGGATAGGGGGCACACGTGCAGCACCGCCGGCCGCAGAGGGGCCCGCCAGCAGCAGGGATGCCAACTATACACCCACACCGGTCCTGGCAGAGCCCCCCCTGGGCAACGGATCGCCCTCCTGGCTTGGCTGGGACCGCTCATGCCCAGACATCCGACGCTGTTATGAATTGTGTCCGCGGCCCAATGCTTCGACCACTTCCCCACGGGGTAGCGTCTCACCGCGGATCAATTCGTGACGGTCCATGGGCCCGACATCGCTCCCCGGAGGCTGAAATCGAAGAAAGTGATGGGATCAAAACAAAATATCGTCGGACACTGGGTCAGAGTGAGGGGACCAAACGCTCTTTCACTGCTGTGGGGATCTGCGGTGCGGAGCCTTGCTGTTGTATTGTTATGTTGTCGTCGTCCTCGCCCGCGACCCGCCGCGACCCACCCGCCACCCGCCCTCGACACACCCGCAACCGCGACCCACCCGCGACCCACCTGCGACCCGCACGAGATCAAGCCGCGGCCCACCCGCCACTCACCCACACTGCCATGACGAACAATCGTCGCCTGCCAGGGGCTCGTTACGCAGTTCTTACAGAAGGCGCCTGTTTTCTGGGATAGCGGCCGTCACCGGCTCGCCCCCCTCCCCCAAATGACGTGACGATCCGCGCTGGCGTCGCCCGGGAATGCTTGGGGATGACCGAGGCAAAGTGGGATCAGCATGCATGTGGCGATCTGTCTGCACACCTGCGCCTGTGTACACCACAATGCTCGCGTGCACCACAGCGCGCATGCACACCAGAGCGCCTCTGTACACCGCAATAGCCGTGTGCAACGCAGCGCCTGCGTACACCACAGTGCTTGCGTACACCACAGCGCTTGCGTACACCACAATGATTGCGTGCACCGCAACGCCTGTGCAAACCACAACGCCTGTGCACACCACAGCATCCGCGTGCGGTCATCTTCCTCCTCCTACTCCTCCTCCCCTACCCTTCCCCCCATCGTGCGGGTCGGCGCTACAGCGCACGTGCGCATCTCAGTAGGCACCGCACAATGGTTTATTGAATAAGTCCTCTAGTTCTCGGACGGCCAATGCTGCGGGATCCTTCTGGACGCAGATCGGAGGAGGTAGGATGATGCGTGAGGACTCGGGAAGACTCGTAGATTCCAGCGGCGCTCTTTTATACATAAGGATTTCTTTGTAAATCCTATTTAAAATAATTGTTTCCTGTGGAATCCACAGGCGCTCCACTAGAAATGCGCAACTGGGGCCATTTTTGTGGGCTCCTGGGCTGTCGAGCGAAATCGGGGAGAACACGAATCCAGACGGGACCTCGCTGCTCCCTTGGTGGCTGAGAACTGCGCAACGTTCGCCTCTTTCGTGTGCTGTTGGGGGGCACGACGAAGTCGGGGAGTACCCGCACCCAGACCCGACCTCGCAGCTCTCTGGGCGGCTGCGAGCTGCGCAACTGGCGCCACATTCGTGGGCTCCTGGGAAATCGATCAACGGACTCGGAGAGTACGCACCCACATACGGGACCTCGCAACTCCCTGGGTGGCTGCGAACTGCGCAACTGGCGCCACTTCCGTGGGCTCCTGAGAGGTCAAACGGAATCGGGCAGTACGCGCACCCAGACGGGACCTCGCAGCTCCCTGGGTGGCTGCGAACTGCGCAACTGTCGCCACTCTCGTGGGCTCCTAGGAGGCACGAAGCGAGTCGGGGAGCACGCGCATCCAGACGGGACCTCGCAACACCCTGGGTGGCTGCGAACCGCGCTAGTGGCGCCGCTTTCGCGGGCTCCTGGGAGACCGAAAGGAGTCGAGGAGCACGCGCATCCAGTCAAGATCTCGCTGTCTGGGTGGCTGCGAACTGCGCAACTGGCGCTGCGTTCGTGGGCTCCTCGGGGGCACGGCGGAGTGGGGGAGTACGCGCACCCAAGCCATACCTCGCGCTTCCTGGGGTGGTCGCCACTCTGGCGGGCTCCTGGGAGGGACCGCGGCGTAGGGGAGCACGCGCACCCAAGAGACTGCATAACGCTCGCGCCCAAGACGAACGGAACAGAAATGGCATAACTCCCGCCCCCTCGAGGCACAAGGCTGCTGCCAAGACTCCGGGAGGCTCCCAGGAGGCTTCCAGGAGGCCCCTGGCGCGCCCCCAAAGCTCCCAAGAGGCCTTGTTCTAATCCTCCTCCTCCTCCTCCTCCTCCTCCTCCTCCTCCTCCTCCTCCTCCTCCTCCTCCTCCTCCTCATCCACCACCTCATCCTCCTTGTTCCTCCCTCTCGTCCTCTCTCTCTTCCTCCCCCGAATGTTCCCCGAAGGGCTCCTTCAATGGCTGCGGGAGCAGGCAGCCCAGTAGCGCGACCGAGCTCTGGCCACAACGTTCGGCCACACAGGCGCTTCCAAAGGCAGGGGGCGGCAGTGTTTTGCCGTAGGCACCTGCGATCGAGATGGCACGGTATTATGTCTCTGCTCCAATCTCGGGGTTCATGCTCTTGAAATCGTTATGGGATCATCGTCGGCCTGCCTTCGTGTGCTCAAAGGCTCCCTCGCGGCCTTCACGGGGACGCCTAATCCCCCTTCAGGATCGGGACTATTGGCCCTAAGGCTCGGTAAGGCCTTTCGCACATCGAACATATCAATAAATTCGATCCTCGAAATTCGACCTGCTGGGATTTCCACTTCCCTACCCCATACCCAGATTCCACGACGTCGTGGTTCGTTTGAAACGCGAGCCCCTGCAAATCTCGACAAGTATGTGACGGTCCTGGTGCCCGACGAGGGCTCCGCAGAGGCTGAAAGTAGCAAAAACCCGGCGTGACTTTTTCGCGACACGACAGGGTTATGGGGGACTCGATCTGGGTTTCCCATAGAAGAAAAACAACAGCAAACACTCAAACATTACACCATCGAAGGACCCCCCCTTCCCTGGCGCGCGGAGCGCGCCATGTGCGGCGACGGGACGCGCCGCCATGGGCGTCCAGCGCAGATCCGAGAAATCCGCACGGACCTCCTAAGAATGTTGCTGATACCGCTTTCTCCAGGTTTCACCAAAGACGGGGGGCAATCTAATGTGGAACGGGATCAAATGTTTACTGCCTTGGAAGGTTCTGGGGGGTCTGGGCATAAAGCTGCCCTGGCACGGCTGGTCTGGGAGGGGTCTACAACTGCCTGTCGGAAGGGTTGTGACCCCCTGCATTCATGTTACGAAATGTGGAGCAGACTTGCTCCATCCAAAGACCCTCAGAACGTGTGTTAGCACCAAATTGCGCTCATCCACCGAGACCCTTCGATGCGACGCATTGAACGAAACTGTCGTCCGACAAGCGTTGCGTGCCACCGGCGAATGTGACCAGGGTAAACGCACACTGGGCTGAGATTTGCTCGACTCCGTCTCCCCAGGGCGCGTTCTGACCAGAATCTCGAAGCGAATCCAGCGGTGGCGACAAGGGCCTCCCAGGAGGCCCAAGCAAGCGAGCGAGAGCGCGCCCTGAACAGCCACAGACTGGCCCCAACGAAGGGGAGGGCGGGGGGCTGCGTGCAGCCAGGCGGCCTTGCCTACGGTCGCCGACAGGCAGACCAACGTGGAGCATGTGGCCACGACTGCTCCTCCTCCGACTGCAGCAACCAAGGCCAGGAGACACCGAGACCGCGGGGGGACGAGGGACGGGTGGCGGCCTGGGTCCCTCGTCCTCTTCCTGGAGGCCCCCCAGATGGGGTCGGAGTGGGATGGGGTCAGCGGATCGCGCCGCATCGCCGATACGTCGGCGAACTGCGTCGGCGCTGCATCAGCGATGCATCCACGATGCGCCGGCGATGCCTCGGCGACGCCGGCGATGCCTCGGGAGACGTCGACGCGCAGCATGCACGGGCTCCACCTCGAGCCGCACCGGCAACGCATCGGCGATGCGGCGCGGTCCTCCGACCCCGCCCACTCGGACCCCGTCTTCGGGAGCGGCCAAGAGGGGGGTGTCCAAGAGGGGGGGGTGCAAATCATGCCCGGCGGCATGTGCGCGGCCCAGCGCGGGGGCCAGGGACGCAATGAAATCAGAAGAGGCGCCACAAAATCTGGGGAAATGTCATGGCCCCTGCCATGATATCCGCCCCCCCCTAGTCATCACCCCCCTCTTTGCCGCCCCCGACGTCTGGGAGGCCTCGACTCCTCCGTCCTCCGGGATTCCGCCCTCCCGACCCCGCCCACTCGCACCCCGTCCTCCTCCTCCTCCTCCTCCTCCTCCTCCTCCTACTCCTCCTCCTCCTCCTCCTCCTCCTCCTCCTACTCCTCCTCCCCCTCCTCCTCCTCCTCTCCTCCTCCTCCTCCTCCTCCTCCTCCTCCATGTACTCCTCCTCCCCCTCCTCCTCCTCCTCCTCCTGCTCCTCCTCCTCCGTGTACTCCTCGTCTGGGAGGCCTCGACTCCTCCGCCCTCCGGGATTCCCCCCTCCCCGCGCCGATCCAGCAGGCGCCCAGGAGCAGGCGCGCCGCCCGGGCCCCGTCGGACCGCAGCACCGTGCGGCAGGAGGCCACGGTGCGGGCGAGGCGCTGCAGGGGGCCCGCCGCCGTGGGCTCCTCGGGGCGGCGGCGGCCGGCTGCCGGGTGCGCACTGCGGCAGCCAGCCCCCAGGAGGGAGGCCGAGAGGGGAGGGGGGACGTCGGCGGTACCTCGGCGACGTCGGCGAGGAGAGAGTCGGGCTTCACATCGAGCCGCATGCGTGGGAGCCCCAGATATGCGAGGCCAGAACTCGTGCGGCAGGCCAACGCCGTGGCGTCTTCGCCGTGGCTCGGTCGGCGTGGAACGATCGCGTCTCTCCGATAACGCCGGTCGCTCGACATCGGGTGATGCCAGGCCGCTGGCGGCGTTCAACAGGCGTTCAACAATGAACGCAAGTAGCTGAGGTCGCCGCCGCGTCGACACGACGCGAACCTGCCGCGCAGAGTCACCGCCTGGGGACCCCATGGAGGCGACGACTGTGCAAATGTTCGGGTATCTCCAGGAACGCTATCCCTGTGCCTTTGGACACTGGGTGCCCTCCGAAGAAAGTAACAAAAAACAAAACATGGTAAAACATAATTAGCCTGGCGAAAGATCCAACCAGATGCAGTTGTGAATACCGCAGTTGAGGATACCGCCTTCGCGGTCGAGCTTCATATGGGGCCACGAAACTCTGTACTGGGTGGGGGAGACGCGTGCGAACTGCGCCACTGGGACCTCCGGTGGAGCTCCCTCTGGGGCCTCGAAACGCTGTACTGGCTGGGGGAGACGCATGCGAACTGCGCCACTTCAACTTGCGGTGGAGTTCCCTGTGAGGCCACGAGGGCCACGAAACGCTATACTGGGTGGGGGAGACGCATACGACTGCGCCACTGGGACCTTAGGTGGAGCTCCCAACGGGGCCACGAAACGCTGTACTGGGTGGGGGAGACGCATGCGAACTGCGCCACTCTGGGACCTTCGGTGGAGCTCCATCTGGGGCTACGGAATTCTGCACTGTGGGGGGACGCGTGCGAACTGCGCCACTGGGACCTTAGGTGGAGCTCCCAACGGGGCCACGAAGCGCTGTACTGGGTGGGGGAGACGCATGCGAACTGCGCCACTCTGGGACCTTCGGTGGAGCTCCCTATGGGGCTACGAAACGCTGTACTGTGGGGGGACGCGTGCGAACTGCTCCACTGGGACCTTCGGTGGAGCTCCCTATGGGACCACGAAGCGCTGTACTGGGTGGGGGAGACGCATGCGAACTGCGCCACTCTGGGACCTTCGGTGGAGCTCCCTATGGGGCCACGAAACGCTGTACTGTGGGGGGACGCGTGCGAACTGCTCCACTGGGACCTTCGGTGGAGCTCCCTATGGGACCACGAAGCGCTGTACTGGGTGGGGGAGACGCATGCGAACTGCGCCACTCTGGGACCTTCGGTGGAGCTCCCTATGGGAGCCACGAAGCGCTGCACTGGATGGGGAGGACGCGTGCGAACTGCGCCAGTGGGACCTTCGGTGGAGCTCCCTATGGGACCACGAAGCGCTGTACTGGGTGGGGGAGACGCATGCGAACTGCGCCACTCTGGGACCTTCGGTGGAGCTCCCTATGGGGCCACGAAGCGCTGTACTGGGTGGGGGAGACGCATGCGAACTGCGCCACTCTGGGGCCTTCGGTGGAGCTCCCTATGGGGCCACGAAGCGCTGCACTGGATGGGGGAGACGCGTGCGAACTGCGCCACTCTGGGACCTTCGGTGGAGCTCCCTATGGGGCCACGAAGCGCTGTACTGGCTGGGGAAGATGCGTGCGAACTGCGCCACTCTGGGACCTTAGGTGGCGTTCCCTCTGGGGCTGCTTGTGGGGCCACGAGGCGCTGTCCTTGGGCTGCGTGGGTGGGAGGAGGGAGATGGGTGAGGAGAGGAGTTTTAAACCCGCGTGCTCCCGCCCGTGAGTGGGTGCCCCTGGTCTCGGCACCCCGCGCAGGCAGAACTGGGTGAGGAGAGGAGATGAGAGGAGAGGACGAGGGACGCAGGGCGCTGTCTCTTCAAAGCGAGGAACCAACACCACAGGATGGCTGGGAATGACTGGAGAGGGGGTCGAGATACCTGGGGAAGGCCACGTCACCAAGACATGCGACACCGGAGTGGGGAGTCTGCACACTGAGGGCCACTCTGGGCCCTGGCATGGTATTGATGCCCTCGGGCTGTGGCCAGGACGGTCTGCACACCATCCTGGGACCCAGCATGGCCGTGGCAAAGCGTGGTGATTACCGGCAGATGCCTGCTGCGGAGTCTGAACACCAACCCCAAGGGCGCGGAGCGCCCCAAGGGGCGCCGCCGGAAACGGCACCAAGGTGTTGAGAACGCGCGCAACTGGGACAATCCGCACGCGGACTTTCATTGCCATGGGGAGAAGACTCCTGAGGGAAACCCAGGACTTTCCGAGCGAACGCATTTCCAATCCCGAGCAATGTTTGCTGACGGCTCCAGGTCCCAAGAACGGTCCCTCGAAGCCGAAAACTCTCTAAACCTAAGGAACTGGCTCCCTCAGATTTTCTTCAGGGGAACCCTGAGAAGTCGACATGTGTATATCTTTCGGGGTGCGTCCCGACAAGTCTTCCCACGAGAAGCCTCACGGAAGACAAATTCTCGAGACAGATCGCCGCGTCCCACCGCCAGCCCAAACGGCGATCACACATTGGGCGTAGCCCTGTAGATTCGTTGCGCCACAGGGTGCCTTCTCGGCGGCCGAAAGCACAACGGCCTGCTATTGGTTGAGCCACAAGTTGCGCTCTCGGGAGGGCGACAACTCGGCGGCCGAAAATATAACGGCCTGCATTTGGTTGCGCCATAAATTGCGCACTCAGGAACCGATAACAACAAACAAATCTGTCATTTTGTGCGCCGTTGGTTGCGCACTCAGCGGCTGAAAATCAAGCGGCCTGCTCCTGGTTGGGCCATCGGTTGCGTCCCCGGCGGCCAAACATCAAACGGCCTACGGCTGGTTGCGCCATGGGCTGGGCATTCGGTGGCCGAGAATGATAAGGAAGATTCCTGGATGCGCCCAAAACTGTCCTTTCGGACGCAGATAATAAAACGGACCGCTAACCCACCAAAAAATGATGCTCATTCGGCAGCCGAGAATAAAACGGCCGAAAGACGTGTGCGGCCAGTGAATCGGTAATCAGCCCAGTGCATCTCACGAAAAAAGAAACCAGAGCTACGACCACAGTGAACGAAGCACGTTCGGGAACGTTGAACCTCCCAAACCTCTTGCCGAGCTCCACCTCGCCGAATGGCCCAAAACATGGGCGACCACAGCCGAAGCGCTGGCTCGGGTCTTGAGCGGCCGTCCAGGACGCTCTGGGCACCCCCTTGTGAGAAGTCTGGGCGAGGCGCAGCTGCTGAGAAACACCCGCTTCCCGAAGCATGCCAAAAACGACTGCGAACATCGCCGACCCTCACGCCCTGGCTGGGGCTCCTCCTCGCAAAGCGCCCGGAAAAAGGGCGACCACAGCCGCATCCGCTGGTAGATGCCGCCGCGGGCGTCGCCGCTGGCTCGTCCACGGCTGGACGCGGGCTCCTCGCAGAGGGCAGCGACCTGAGCGGCCGAAGACAGGAGGAGTCTTGTGCGCACGAGGGCACGACGGCGTATGCGGGCCGCTCGCACGGGAATGACCTTGACACACTGGCATCGCAATCTGGTCGCGTTCGGAGTTTTTGCCCAGCTTCGGGCCATGTAGCCCTCACAAGATCGGTCTGGGCTCCTGTCGTGATTCTTCCCGATTCTGCACGCTGCTCGCAAACATCAGACGAAGAGACTATCTCATACCAGAGGTCTGGACACGGCTATTTCTGGTGCGCGTCCACCGTTTGGATGTACCTGGGCCAGACAGAGAACGGACCCCAGCGGCCAGAACTCGGGGAACAACACATTACATCATAACATAAACATTCTGAGGTCTGCGCAGACTTCTTGGATCGGCGCTGGACCTCCTCCCTGGCGCGCTCCGCGCGCCAGGGGCGGCGCCGGAGGCGTCGCCAGGGAGGCCTCAGCGCCGATCCAAGAAATCCGCGCGGACCTCCGAGAGTTAATTTGGTGCCTTGTTGTCTGCTTCGTTTCTCGTTGAACAGACCACGAGGACCACGCGCACGCGCTTCGCGCGCGCACGTAGGTTCTGGCGCAGAACAGGTCAGCGTCTCGACACAGTGGGTGCGTATCGCCATGTCTGTCTTGCAAATACGTCGAACCGTTTGAGGCATTATTCGAACTCCTTCCATCACCCGCCTCTCTGCCTCCTCCTCCCTCCGGCCCCTCCCTTCCGCCCGCTGTCCCTCTCGTCTCGCTCTTCTCTCCCTTTTTCTCGTGCGCCCGTCCCGCTCTCGGGACCATCCCGAGGCCCCAGAGGCACACTAGAAGAGAAGGGGCCAGGTCTCTAGGAACCCACGGTTTCCCGTACGGCAGGTTCGTGTCGTGCCGACCCCAGCGTTGGTTTTTGACACCGCAGGGATCGTTCAACCTTGAATGATCGGCCGCTGCCGCAACGTCCGATCGTTCAACATCGATCGATTCTGGGTCGCCGGCGGCGTTCAACCTTGAACGCCCGCGGCGAGGTCGACGAGGGTCGACACGACGCGAACCTACCGTAGGTATAGTGAGGATGTGGGGCTTGCTGGGGGGCCTCTGGGCGGCATCCTGGGAGCCTCTTGGTGACCTCTTAGGGGGCCGTCTGGGGGCCATCTGGAGCTGTCTTGGCCGTCCGGAGGCCGTGCTGGGCCGTCCTGGCGGCTTCGAGGGCCGTCTTGAAGCAGTCTTGGGCCGTCGCTGGGCCATCGCGAAGGGTCCCTGGGGCCCTGGTCGACCGTCTTGGAGCCCCCTGGGGCTCCTCTGGGGAGCTCTTGGCTCGTCTGACGCTTCCGGAAGCCGTTTTGGGGGGGGGCTCCGGGAGGTCTCTGGGGCCACCTTGGGGGACCCCGGAGCGCTCTTGGGGCCGTCTTGTGGTCTTGAGGGCTCCTCTTGGGGCACGCTTGGGAAATTTGACGACCATCCAGAAGCCTCAAAGCCAGTCTCAACGCATTCGGGTGCTTCATAGAGATTCGGGTGCTTCATAGCGATCCTCCTCCTGCTCCTGCTTCTCCTCCTCCTCCTCCTCCTCCTCTTTCTCCTCCTCCTCGTCCTTCTCCTCTTCCTCCTCCTCCATCTCCTCCTCCTCTTCCTCCTCCTCCTCCTCCTACCAGGCGGGGTAGGGGGGGCGGAAGTGAGAGGAATGAGGAGGGGGAGGGACGAGGGAAGCGGGAGGAGGTAGGATCGCGGAGGGAGGAGGTAGGATCGCGGAGGGAGGAGGAGGAGGAGGAGGAGGAGGAGGAGGAGGAGGGAAGTAGATAGACGGGGACGGCGAGGAGGGAGGGAATTGGGAGGATGGAGGAGGGCGGGAGGGACAGGAGGGAGGGAGGGGGGGAGGGATGGAGCGAGGGAGGGGGGGGGCGAGGGAGGAGGAGCAGGAGGAGGGAGTAGGAGGGGCAGGAGCAGGAGGAGGAGGCGGAGGAGGAGGCAAGGGAGAGGGAAACAGGGTTGGAGGAAGAGGAGGAGGATGAGGAGGAGGAGAGGAGGATGATGATGCGGAGGAGGAGTCCTGCTACTGCTGCTGCTGCTGCTGCTTCTCCTCTTTCTCCTCCTCCTCCTGCTCTTTGCTCCTGCTCCTGCTGCGCTTCCTCTTCATCCTCCTGCCCCCCTGCTCCTCCCCCTCCTCCTCCGCCTCTTCCTCCTGCTCCTCATCCCTCCTCCTCGTCCTCGTCCTCCTCCCTCCTCCTCCTCGTATTCCTCCGGCTTCTCCTGCTCCTGATGCTGCTCATCCTGCTCCTTCTCCTGGTCCCGATCCTGCTCCTGTTGCTGCTGCTCGCATGCCCTGCTCACGTCTGTTGGAGGTTTCGTGCGTCGGGAGGTTTGGGGTATTGGGGAGCTGGTGCTTGGAAAACTCGTGCGTCGACCCCTCATGCTGGGGCTCTGGTCCCTCGTGCGTTGACCACTCGTACTAAGGCTTCGGCCCCTCTTACCTCATGCGTTGACCTCTCATGTCATGCTGGGAGTTTGACCCCTCATGCGTCGACCTATCATGCTGGGGCTTTGGCGCCTCATGCGTCGACCCCTCATGCTGGGGCTCTGGCCCCTCTTACCTCATGCGTTGGCCCCTCATGCTGGGGTTCGTACCCCTCATGCGTTGACCCCTCATGCTGGGACTTTGGCCCTTCATGCGTCGACCCCTCATGCTGAGGCTTCGGCCCCTACTACCCCGTGCCTTGACCCCTCGTGCTGGGGGTTATACCCCTCATGGGTTGACCCCTCATGCTGGGGCTTGTACACTTTGGTTCCGCTTACCTCATGGGTTGACCCCTCATGCTGGAGCTTGCACCCATCATGCGTCGACCCCTCATGCTGGGGCTTTGTCGCCTCGTGAGTCGACCCCTCGTGCTTGGGCTTTGGACCCTCTTGCCTCATGCGTTGACCCCTCATGCTGGGGTTTGTACCCCTCATGCGTCGAACCCTCATGCTGGGGCTTTGGCCCCTCATGCGTTGACCCCTCATGCTGGCGCCTGTGTCCGCTTAGCTCATGCGCTGACCCTCATGATGGGGCTTGTCCCCCTCATGCGTCGACCCCTCATGCTGGGGCGTTTGCCCCTCATGGGTTGACCCCTCATGCTGGCGCCTTGGTCCCGCTTAGCTCATGCGTTGACCCTCATGCTGGGGCTTGTACCCCTCATGCGTTGACCCCTCATGCTGGGGCTTTGGCCCCTCATGCGTCGACCCCTCATGCTGGCGCCTTGGTCCCGCTCAGCTCATGGGTTGACCCCTCATGCTAGGTGCGTCCATGACGTGGCGACGCGGAGAGCGCCTCGAAGGCCAGAGAGCCTCGATCCTCGAACCTCGGCCCTCGATGCTCGATCCTCGAGGCTCCTCAAACAGGGCCCCTGGACCCCTCCCGAGGTCCAAACGCACGAGTTGTTCGAGCTGCGTCCATGCCGTGGCGACGAGGAGGGCCCCGAAGGAGCAATAGGAGGCCCCCAAAACGGCCTCAAGAGAACCGTAACGGGTGACCCGCGCGCGTCGCCCGTTACAACGCGTTTCTTCCGAAGACGCCTCGGGCTCGTCGTCGTCGTCGTCGTCGTCGTCGGTCGTCGGTCGTCGTCGTCGTCGTCGTCGTCGTCGTCGTCGTCGTCGTCGTCGTCGTCGTCGGTCGTCGTCGTCGTCGTCGTCGTCGTCGTCGTCGTCGTCGTCGTCGTCGTCGTCGTCGTCGTCGGTCGTCGAGGGTCGATCCTCGAGGCTAGATCCTCGAACCTGGATCCTCGAGGCTTGATCCTCGAGGCTGGATCCTCGATCCTCGAGGCTCGATCCTCGAGGTTCGAACCAAGGCCAGAGAGCCTCGACCTGGATCCTCGAGGCTCGATCCTCGAGGCTAGAGGCTCCTCAAGACGGGCCCCAGGACCCCTCCCGGGATCCAAACGCACCAGTTGTTCGAGGTGCGTCCATGCCGTGGCGACGCGGAGGGCGCCTCGAAGGCCAGAGAGCCTCGAACCTCGATCCTCGAACCTCGGCCCTCGATGCTCGATCCTCGAGGCTCCTCAAACAGGGCCCCTGGACCCCTCCCGAGGTCCAAACGCACGAGTTGTTCGAGCTGCGTCCATGCCGTGGCGACGAGGAGGGCCCCGAAGGAGCAATAGGAGGCCCCCAAAACGGCCTCAAGAGAACCGTAACGGGTGACCCGCGCGCGTCGCCCGTTACAACGCGTTTCTTCCGAAGACGTCTCGGGTCGTCGTCGTCGTCGTCGTCGTCGTCGTCGTCGTCGGTCGTCGTCGTCGTCGTCGTCGTCGTCGTCGTCGTCGTCGTCGTCGTCGTCGTCGGTCGTCGAGGGTCGATCCTCGAGGCTAGATCCTCGAACCTGGATCCTCGAGGCTCGATCCTCGAGGCTGGATCCTCGATCCTCGAGGCTCGATCCTCGAGCCAGAGAGCCTCGAACCAAGGCCAGAGGGCAAGTTGGGCCAAGATGCCCGAGCACGCCGGCAACCCAGGGTTGCAGGGGTGCTCGGGCCATCCTGGGCGACCCGACATCTCCGCGAGGGAGGCCCGAGCACCCCGGCAACCCAGGGTTGCAGGTGTGCGCGAGCATGTTGGGCCAAGATGCCCGCGCACACCTGCAACCCAGGGTTGCAGGGGTGCTCGGGCCATCCTGGGCGACCCGACATCTCCGCCCACCGCGTCTTCGGGATCGCGAGGGAGGCCCGAGCACCCCGGCAACCCAGGGTTGCAGGTGTGCGCGGGCATGTTGGGCCAAGATGCCCGCGCACACCTGCAACCCAGGGTTGCAGGGGTGCGCGGGCATGTTGGGCCGACATGCCTGGACATCCCGGCAAATCCGATGGCCAGGCAGGCCCAGCACCCCGGCAACCCGGGGTTGCAGGGAAGGCCTCCCTCGGCGAGGGCCCGGCCCCCCTTCCCGGCAAATCCCGGGGCGGGCCCTCCCGGGCTTCCCGGCAACCCGGGGTTGCAGGGAAGGCCTCCCTCAGGAGGGCCCGGCCCCCCTGAGCCCCCGGCAAATCCCGGGGCGG